TAGTTTTAGTAGAGACGGGGTTTCACCATGTTGACCAGGATGGTCTCGATCTCTTGACCTCGTGATCCACCCGCCTCGGCCTCCCAAAGTGCTGGGATTACAGGCGTGAGCCACCGCGCCTGGCCAGCATTTTTCAATAGTGCTAGTCTGTTGTCTCTCGAATTTCTTGTAAGCCTCTGCTACCCATTTGTAAGTTTTGATGTTGGCACTTTCTTGCTTTATGTGTGATGGACAACCCATTTGCATGCATCTCAATATCAAAACATAATATAGCATCATCTGTTTGTGGGAATTTTCCTTTCTTGGGTCCTTTAAAATCTCAGCTCCTTTACAAAATGTGGAATGTGTTCATTCCTCCAGTGAGGAACATTTGCTTCACTAAAAACAAATGCATATGCTCCACTACTCTGTTTCAGTTCTGTCTGCTTACATAATAACATTTTGGTTTAATGCCAAATCACTATAATAGATTTGAAGATAATTTAAATGTCAATTAAATTCTACCCATGTGGGACCTACAATATACATGAATTTATTTTTGCTATTATAGAAGTGATGTGTTCCTAAAAATGTCAAATGATAAAGAGGTGTACAGTTGTGTTAAACTCATGTTAAACAGAAATGAGGACATAAACATGCCTCTGACTGTGGTCAGAGGAGGCCTCCCTGAGGAGATAGCATCTTGTCAGAGAAGACAGCTGTTTGGAGAGTTGGAAGAAAAGCATTCTAAGCTGAGAGAATAGCATGATTATAAAGGTCAGCATAATTGGAATATATTCAGACAAGTTAGATGTAGAACTCAGACAGTGCTAGAGTGGTGCAAGGTGAGTTTGCGTCTGGAGCAAGAGTGGTACAAGGTGAGGTTGCAGAGACGCTGGGGTGAGCTCTTGCAGGACTTTGTAGGCTCTCTAAAAGTGCAAGGGAATGTTGTCAACAGCAGGTCTTTGATATGATCCAATTTACATTTTAAGAGGATACTTTAACATCTAGTAAACGTACTGTTGAATCAGTAGAAGAAAGAATCAATTAAGTAAATTTTGATCAGATAATTGGTTAAACTATTAGAAAAGAATAAAAGCAGCTGGGCATAGTGGCACACACCTGTAATCTCAGCACTTTGGGAGGCCAAGGCAGGCAGATTACTTGAGGTCAGGAGTTCCAGACCAGCCTGACCAACAAGGTGAATCCCCGTCTTTACTGAAAATACAAAAATTAGCTGGGCGTGGTGGCACACACCTGTAATCCCAGCTACTTGGGAGGCTGAGGCACAAATTGCTTGAACCTGGGAGGCGGAGGTTACAGTGAGCCAAAATCGCGCCACTGCCCTCCAGCCTGGGCAACAGGGCAAGACTCCGTCTCAAAAAAAAAAAAAGTTTCATACAGAATGATGATGATGATTGACAATTTTATTTATTTATTTTTTGAGACGGAGTCTTGTTCTGTCACCAGGCTGCAGTGCAGTGGTGCCATCTCGGCTCACTGCAACCTCCGCCTCCCGGGTTCAAGCAATTCTCCTGCCTCAGCCTCTCGAGTAGCTGGAACTACAGGTGTGTGTCACCATGCCTAGCTAATTTTTGTATGTTTTAGTAGAGACGAGTTTTCACCATGTAGGTCAGGATGATCTTGATGTTGTGATCTGCCCGCCGCGGCCTCCTAAAGTGCTGGGATTCCAGGTGTGAGCCAGCACGCCCAGCCCGATGATTATTATTTTTAAGAAAGATTTTCACTTTGCCATCCAGGCTGAGGTACAGTGGCATGAGCTCACCTCACCACAGCTTTGACCTTCTGGGCTCAGGTGATCCTCCCACCTCAGCCTTCCAAGTATCTGGGACTACAGGTGACCACCACCAAGCCCAGCTAATTTTTTGTAGAGATAGGGCTTCACCATATTGCCTAGGCTGGTCTAAAACTCTTGGGCTCAAATGATCCTCCCACCTTTGCCTCCCAAAGTGCTGGGATTACAGACATGAACCACCGTCCCTGGCCTCTTACAGTATTATTAATTCCCCCAGAAACTGGACATAACCTTAAGGTCTAACAATGTTTGCATTTGTTAGGTAAATTGTGATAAATCTGTAAGATGGAATACTGTTTAGCCTCTAAAGTACGATTTGCAAAGAGCATTTAACATAAAGAAAAATCACGTTATGAAGCAGAATAAACAAAGGTATTCCAATTTTCTAAAATTGTTATATCTGGGTGTATATGTACAGTAAATGGAATGGAAAAGCAAGAATATAAATATTAACAGTAATTATCTGGCTGATGGTGCCACAAATAATTTTAATTTTTCTCGTATTTTCTATACTTTTTTCAGTAAAAATGTATTGGTCAGAAAATGAATACTGGGAGAAAATGCTGTACATTATTTTATGTAGTATCTGGCAAATTTCTTCACAAGGTAATATGTATCAGAATTATTCTCAATCCTGGCTGCACTCTAGACTCACCTAGGGAGCTTTATAAAAGCCTATTCCACTTGGCCCTCCCCCAGAAATTCTTAGTTACTTTAGGATGGCCCCTCCATCAGTAATTTTAGCAGCCGTCAAAGTAATTCATTTTTTTTTTTTTTTTGAGATGGAATCTCGCTCTGTCACCTAGGCTGGAGTGCAAGTGGCGTGACCTCCGCTCACTGCAACCTCTGCCTCCCAAGTTCAAGTGATTCTCCTGCGTCAGCCATCTGAGTAGCTGAGATTACAGGCGACCGCCACCGCGGCCAGCTAATTTTTGTATTTCTAGTAGTGATGGGGTTTCACCATGTTGGCCACGCTGGCTCAAAATTATTTGAGCCTTTCCATAGTCCAGAAGACAAATTTGAAAAACTGAGGAAGGGCTGGGTGCAGTGGCTCACGCCTGTAATCCCAACACTTTGGGAGGCCGAGACAGGCGGATCACCTGAGGTCAGCAGTTCAAGACCAGCCTGATATGGTGAAACCCCGTCTCTACTAAAAATACAAAAATTGACCGGGTGTGGTGGCGAGCGCTTGTAGTCCCACTACTCGGGAGGCTGAGACAGAATTGCTTGAGCCCGGGAGGAGGAGGCTGCAGTGAGCTGAGATCGTGGACGACAGGGCGGGACGCCCTGTCTCAATAAATAAATAACTGAGGAAGATCTTAACTGCAAAATGCAAATCATACTCACTTCCAAGCCATGTGTGGATTAAATGAGATAAGCCAACTAAAGCGATTACTCAGCTCAGTGCCTAGTATACAATTAGCGCTCAACAAGTACTAGAGACCGCTTGGCAAAGCAACGCAGATTGAAGTGTGGGTTCCACTTATCATGTGATAAGTGATAATGCTTTTAATCAGGTCGGTTCACCTGGCCTCTCCATTCGGCCTAAATAACATCTACTTACTTGCGTGAGGGAAGAGCCCTTGCTGCTGCAGGCTCAGAGCCCAGGTCAGCAAGTATTTGTCAGGCTAGAGCCTCCGGGTGGCGCCTCTCTCCGTCAGTAACCCGTTACCTCCAGAGCCAGGGCGCCAGCTTCAGCCATCTGCGTTCAAGCAGGAGCTCCCATTGGCTAATCGGACTCTGAAACGCACGCCTATTCCCGCCCCTGACGCTGCCGTCCAATGCGAGCCTCTCAACTCTGCTTCACCCCGCCCCCGTCGCCCTGTCCCTGGCGTATTTGCGCCATTGGTCGATCTTCCGGGCCGTGATGGCGGTGCTGCGTGTGCGCACTAGCTCCGAGCCCGCCTCCGGGGAGGGGGAGCTCGCCAGCCGGGGCTAGAGAAGGCAGACCCTGCTCCGCCCGGGTGAAAGGGCGGCGACGGCGCTGGGCGGGGCCGAGCTCCAGGGCTGGCTGCTGGGCTGCTAAGGGAACTGTGAGCCGTTCGGAGCCGCGCGCCTCCCGGGCGGGGCGGGGCCGGCCGAGGGAGCCCGCGCGTGCCCGCGCTGAGCTGCCTGCTTTGGCTACTGCGCTGCTCGCTTGCGGCGACGTCGGGCAGGTTTTTCCAGGATGACCGAGCTGAGGCAGAGGGTGGCCCACGAGCCGGATGCGCCGCCCGAGGACAAGGTAGCGGCAGCCTCCGGGTGGGCGCGGCCGGGACAGCGGCGCATCCAGGAGGCCCGCGGGGGATGCGCCCAGGGGGGTCCTCTCGTCCTCTGATCCCTTGTCGCGGCCGACGGCGGCCCCGGGCCTGGGCAGCGCGATGGGTCCTCGGGTGCCTAGCCTTTGCGGCGCGCATGTAAGGGATTGGCGGGTCGGAGTCCGGGCTCAGGGTCTGGCTGGGGTGGCCCCCCTGGGGCGCAGGAAGGAGCTCTAGTGGAGTGGCGCACGGCCTCCTGTCTCGCTGGGCTGACTGCGGGACCCCTCTCTCCCCCACCTCCCTGAGGCCTCCCTGGAGGTGAAGATGTGCAGAGCCTTCGCAGATAGGCGGCTCCTCTGACCGCGACTTAGGCTCTCCGTTCCCTTTTACAATGTTATTATTTTGGGGGGTGGGGGAATCGGGACAAGGCCATAGCATTTGCCTCCTGGGAGATGTAAATCCCTTCATGGACATGAGCTTTGAGCAGAGAGGTGTGCTACGGAGTGAGCCACCACGTCATCAGCAGGTGTTGGAGGGGGTCCTCCCAGTTGATGGGTTGTTTCCTCTGCCGTGTGGGCTCTGGTGAGTAGGGGAGGAGAGTAGGAAGGAGGCCATCTTGGCGGGGACAGCGGCTGGGGGGTGACGGGTGTGGGAGTAGATTCCTTTGGGTGAAGTGAAAGGTCTGTGTAGGGGAGTTGAGGAAGGTAGGGAGTACTTGTATTACTGTGGACGTTGAATGGCAGCATAGGACTTTGTAGTTGTAGTTGTGCTTTCCGAGATAGCAGTGGTCAGGGGTCTTGTATTTGGAAAACTGACCTGGCAGTGATGTGTAGAATGGATTGAGGGAGCTTGGACCAGAATGAGAGAGACTGGTTCACTTGGGGATTGCCCATGGGTGACCTGTAGATGTTTTCTTTGGCCCACATGCTGCCTTAAAAATCAAAAAATTTCTCCTAACAATCTAAGTTTCTTGCCTGTCTTAGATAATTGGAGCGTCCACCATCACCTTCTCACCTGATTAATGATTGGCTGGAGCTGAGGATCATCTGTTCCCACCAATCCCTCTTGCCTTACACCAGGCTCATAGCTTCTCCTAATGCAGCCTGTAACTTTTTGATGACTGGAAGAAAGGGACATTAGGGAGATACCAAGAAGGAAGAAAGCACAAGATTTGGTGACAGGATGTCAATAGAGCAGTTACAACAGGAGGAATGTTTTGGGTGAAAGATAATGGTGGGTTTTTTTTTAAACAACTTTCGTGTTATTGCAGTTGACGATGGACCATCCAAAGAAAACTGTTCATACTGTAATTTAGAAAATGTATTTTGGCCAGGCACAGTGCTGCACACCTGTAATCCTAGCTACTAGGGAGGCCGAGGCAGGAGTATCGCTTGAGCCCAGGAGTTTCAGATCCTGTCTTAAAAAACAAAAACAAAAACATATTTTGGAGAAAATTTAGAGCTAGGGCTGAGGATTTAGTAGTCGCTTGCAGAGACAAGAGACTTTGAAGTCTCTAATTTTTCAGGGGGCTCTTCTGGTTCAGCCTGAAAGAATTCTGACTTACCTTGTTACTGCTAGTTGGTGAGTATGCAAATGTTTGGAGGCTCTGTTTAAGGTGAGATCATACTTGATGTCACTGGGACTTTGTGGACCTAGAAGGTATGAGAAGAGGGAGAAGAAAGAAGGCATGAGAGCTGGTGGGCCATGTTTTTGAAAAGCTAACTATGTACAATAGTTAGAATGTCAAAAAAACAACGATGGGGTTATGAGATGGAAAATAAAAGATTCTACCCTTCTTTCTGGACTCCTTGGATCCATCCACAGAGATAAAGTGCCTGTTGGTCTTACTTTCACATCCCATACTTTCGGTAGGGAGGACATGAGGAGCTGTCCAGCTAAAGGTGCACTTACATCACTTATACAGTGACATAATGCCTGGGATCATGAGGTCTACTCGTTGCATCTTGTTCCTTAAAAGACAGCTGCTATGCACTCTGATACTCATTACCCAGAACAAGGCAATCAGTCCCTCACCCCATCATCCAGAACTTCTGAATTGTCCTGCATGGGATTTTTAATAAGGGCACGTTTTAAAAACTATGAAATCTATTACTTGTCTTTGAATGTATATAGTAAACTTTTTTTTTTTTTTTTTTTGAGGCAGAGTTTTGCTCTTGTTGCCCAGACTAGAGCACAATGGTGCAATTTCAGCTTATTAAAACCTCCGACTCAGCCTCCTCAGTACCTGGGATTACAGGCACCTGCCACCACGCCTGGCTAATTTTTTTGTATTTTTAGTAGAGATGGGGTTTCACCATGTTGTACAGGTTGATCTTGAACTCCAGACCTCAGGTGATCCACCCGCCTTGGCTCCCAAAGTGCTGAGATTACAGGTGTGAGCCACTGCAGCTGGCCCATAGTAAACTTTAAAAAAAATCCTGATTTATTATGTTTCATATTTTGGGAAAAGGCTACTTCCATGCCTTTGGCTTTGCCAATATTCTTGTGTTAGAACCCAGGGAAATTAGAAATAATAAAACAGGGTTGTCTTTTTAAGGAAATACATTATGAAATGAGAACTTTTTTTATTTCATAGTAGAAGAATCCAGTAAACAATTTTCAAGTCAGTGTTTTAAAAGCTCTGGAATAAATTTGAAAGATTCTTCAAAATGTTACAGTTGCTTAACTGCCGTGGCAAAACTTTCTTGTAAATGGAGAATCATTAGTATCAAAATAATCTGGAGAATGTTTATAAGTCATAGGCTGGGTGTGGTGGTTCACACCTGTAATCCCAGCATTTTGAGAGGTAGTTCACAAGGTGAGTAGATGGAGACCATCCTAACTAACACAGAGAAACCCCATCTCTACTAAAAATACAAAAAATTAGCCGGGCATGGTGGCACGTGCCTGTAGTCCCAGCTACTCGGGAGGCTGAGGCAGGAGAATTGCTTGAACCTGGGAGGCAGAGGTTGTAATGAGCCAAGATCATGCGACTGCACTCTAGCCTGGGCAACAGAGTGAGACTCCATCTCAAAAAAAAAAAAAAAAAAAAAAAAAGTCAGAAGGTATTTTGTTATATTTAGCATCTGAGAATGGAATTTTCAAAGCCAATTGCTAATAAGGAAATGTTCTCCTCTGGGAACTGTGCTTATAATTTTAAAGTCCCAAGGCACAGTATAGTTTGCCAATCTAAGAAACTTGGAGTTTAAGCTTTGGGAATGATCCTCGTCCTGCCAAATGTATTTTTACGATGGAGCTTAGGAAAGGGAAGCTTTCCTGAGCGTGGTCTGAAAGATTGGCATCTTAAAATTTATAATTGAGTTGGCATTTCAGGAGATTTTGTTTTGTAAGTTAAAGGTTCTGGCGTTTTCTGCTTTACTTAGTTCCCAAGGTGATATTTAAATTAGAGCTTTACTTATTTCAAGGCTTCCTTTCTAGATGGGTGAAACCCATATGGAGAGGAAAGAGTGACATAATTTAGAAAGGAGAGTTTAAATTTTAACTGAAGATAGCGTTTAAAAGCAGGGGCTTGAGTCAGTTACATCTGCCTTGAACCTGGGCTCTGCCACATGGAGGCTGTGTAACTTTGAGCAGATCACTGAAGCTGTGGCAGCCTCAGTTTGTCCATCATTAATATGAGAGTGATAAAATTGTGTGTGCTTCACAGGATATTCATGTGGATTAAATGTATGTATGGGCTTACAGCAGAGCTTGTCACATTGTAATAATATGTTAGCTATTGTTGCTACTGGTTAAAATAGATTTTTATAGGAAAAAACTTTAATATTCATCTTACACTCTTGGAAGGTGATTAAATCTTCAAGTTATATGTATTTGCAGAGTCTATTCATATTAATTACCTTTTAAGGAAAGTTTTATAAAAAGGACTTAGCCTTCTATGACCTATCTTTTCAGTTTATTTTCTTGCTGAATATTTCAGCACTCCAAATCACAATTAAACTTTAACTGTAGAAGGACCACTGAACATTGCTGTATGTAATTGTCTTTTATAACTAAAAATGGTTTTCAATAGACTTTGAGATTGAACTAGTGAAATAAAATATTAAAGAGCTATAACTACTTCAGGTGTAGGAGAAATGGTTAATTTTTTTCAATAAAACTTTTTTATTTTTAGAAATAATTTGGGAGTTGAAATATCAGTAAACCTTAACTATGATTCCCAGGCTTAACAGGGAGAGGAGGTAAAAGATTATTTTGTCGTATAACTCAGTATCTTATGTGTCTTATTTTTGTTGTTCAGTGTGATTTTATTTTAAAAACTCAATTACTTCATGATTTTTGACTATTTAAAGTTAGTTTTTCCAAAATCTATTTTTAAAAAACGTTTTGTGTTTGCACAAATTAATATGGCATTTCATTAGAAGAATTTTTATCATCTTTCGAAGGTGTTAAATTGCTCTCCTTGGTTGTCAGGACTAGAAGGGCCTTTAGAGGTGTTTTTTATTTTTAGGGACAGGGTCTCACCTTGTTGCCCAGGCTGGAGTGTAGTGGCACAATCATAGCTTGCTACAGCTTTAAACTCCTGAGTTCAAGCCATTCTCCTGCGTCAGTCTCCTGAGTAGCTCAGGACCACAGGCCCAAGCCATGGCACCCGGATTGAGGTAGTTATTTTATAGAGGAGGATACCACAGCTCAGAGAGTTGAAGTTATTAGCTCAAGATGACGTAGCTGGTTAGATACAGAGAGGCTCTTATTATGAAGGTCTTCTCATTCCCGGTTGACGTTTTTTAATTTTTTTCTCATAGAATTAATTTACAGACTTTAAAAGCTTCTGTATTGATTAACGTTGATAGATAAGATACCCAAATATTACCTATTTTTCTTATTTGGCTACAAAATCAGAAAAATACTATTTAAGTTGTTCAAAATGTTAAATGTTAGAAAGTAAAGTCTTAGAGAATAAATGTGGAGACTGTGAAGAAAAAAATGTATATTTTTTGGCAGAGAAAGTTGATTAGGCTCAATT